ACGTTACAGTGTAACATGCTGTTACAGTTCATGTGTCTATAGTAATAATAATAATAATAAATTACAATAATCTAATAGCTTTATGTCATCCTGACAATAAGAGACAATCTACTAAAGTACTTAATACTAGTAATTAATGAACAGTTAACCTTACTTCTGTACTTTTACATTTTAACGTCATATAAGTTAATATGAGTTATACTTTCAGGTAACCTTAGCCTATTAAAAAGTTGTCAAAGTGTAAATAACATACACTAATTTAATAAAAATACAGGTCACATGAATTTGATTCTCACACGTGTTAATATAGTATATATTATTTATATAAACTAAGTTAGCTAGTATCAAAGCGTTGGCGTAGTTAGACCTCTGCCATGACTATACAAGTCAGGCTCAGTTAGTTAACGTCTATCTAATGGAGTTACACAACATTCAAACAACTTACGTCGTTATTTGAAGATCTTGAATTGAGGCGGCTTCGCTAGTGGGAGAAACTGCTCATGTATCAAAGTTAGTAACGTTACCATCGCAAAACGCGTGAAACTATTGTTAACTAAAGTAGTAATCGGGTTGACAAAACTGAACTGACTGGACAGTGAACGCACCTCCTGCCCGTCATGAGTATGGCGTTGCAGTGTGCCATACTGGGTGACGGTTCAAATTAACGTCATACATTAAACGACTGTCACGTTTTATGACTATATTAATTTCAATAATAACATTAAATAATTAAAAGATGTGCCTAATATGTATATTATGGTATTATTTCGTAAACGATTATATTGCAACTCATTTCAAAAGAGTATTTTTAAATATTAGATATTTATTAGTTATTTTATTATTTATTTATTTGTTCCACTCGGACCACCCTGGGGCAGCTGAAAAAAGTGTGCCAGTGTGTAAACCTGGTATACTCTGGTTTGACTAATCTGGTGAGCGCAGCTTTAGTTAAACGGAGCTCTCAGATGAATAATTGTGTCTACGGATTGTAAACTGCGTCCAGCGATTTGTGTCAGGGTTTTGCAGTCCAAGCGGCACAAATTTGACATGTATAAGTTTTGCAATCGTGTTCATAAATTTCCGAATTCATGGGTTATGGATGGCATCCAGGGGCAGGACGGTGCCACAGAGCTCTCTCCCGTAGTTCAATGCTCTTTGATTCCTATCTCAGGACTGCTTCATACCCACCTGTGGAAGACATCGTCTTCAATTGTTGCGCAGAATTTGACCATTTAGTGCCGCCGGGCGCCACACTCCATCTGCCCCGCCCCGGGCCCGACCGGCCCCCTCCGGGCCCTCAGGGGACAGCTTAAAGAGTCTGCACTGTTACCGTCCTCACCATCATCCACCAACACCAAAGAGCTCACAAGGTTTTGTTGTTCTTGAGGGGCGCCCATTCCCCCTTACTGTTACTATAGGACCCCGACCTCGACGCGCTCGGCCGCCCGCCGGGCGCGCCGCCTCGCAGCCGCGCTGGCGCGCGCCGGGTCAGCGGGCCAGCCGGCCGTGCCTTGCCGGCCCCGGCGCGTGCGGTCGGGGCCGCGCGGCGCGGGGCCTCCCCCGGGGCCCGCCGGGTCCGCCGGCCTTCGGTGCGGGCCGGATTCTAATAATAATAATACAAAAAATCTAATAGCTTTTATGTATCCTGACACATATAGAGACAATTCTACATATAAGTTACTTTAAATACTTTAAGTGAATTTAATGAACAGTTAACCTTACTTCTGTACTTTTTACATTTTAACGTCATACTAAGTTAATATAAGTTACTACTTCAGTAACCTTAGCTATTAAAAGTTGTCTAAATAACATTACACTATATTTAATAAAATACAGGTCACAGAATTTGATGTGTCACACGTTTGTAATATATAATATATATTTATATAAACTAAGTTAGCTATTACTCATAGCGTTGGCTAGTTAGACTTTGACTGTATACAATCAGCTCAGTTAGTTAACGTTATCTAATGAGTTAGACAGACATTCAAAACAAACTTACGGTCTTATTGAAGATCTTGAATGAGGCGGCATTTCTGTGGGAAACTCTGCATTATCTAAAGGTAGTAACGTTACATCGCAAAACGCTGAAACTATGTTAACTAAAGTTAGTTAATCGGTTGACAACTGAACTGACTGACAGTGAACGCACCTCCTGCCCGTCAGTGACGTATGCTGCAGTGTGCCAACTGGTGACGTTCAATTACGTCATACATTAAAACGTACATTGTCACGTTTAATACTATTATAAATTTAAATAAGATAAAACATTTAAAAATAATTAAATATTTTTTATATATATATAGTTATAGTTATTATTCTAACTCATTATTATTGCAACTCATTTCAAAAAGTATTTTAAATATTAGATTATTTATTATTTATTTATTATTTATTATTTGTGTCCACTCGGAGCCACCCTGGGGTCAGCTGAGAAAAAAGTGTGCCATGTGTAAACCTGTACTCTGGGTTTGACTAATCTGTGAGCACAGTTTATAAACGGAGCTCTCAGATGAATAATATGTGTCTACGGATTTGTAAACTGCGTCCAGCGTTTGTTCAGGGTTTTGCAGTCCAAGCGCACAAATTTGACAAATATATTTTGCAAATCGTGTTCATAATTTCCAAATTCATGGGTATGGATGGCATCCAGGGCCAGGGACTGTGCCACAGAGCTCTCTCCCGTAGTTCATGCTCTTTGATTCCTACAGGACTGCTTCAGTACCCACCCTGTGGAAAAAGACATCGTCTTTCCAATTGTTGGACCAGAATTTGACCATTTAGTGCCGCCGGGCGCCACACTCCATCTGCCCCGCCCCGGGCCCGACCGGCCCCCTCCGGGCCCTCAGGGGACAGCTTAAAGAGTCTGCACTGTTACCGTCCTCACCATCATCCACCAACACCAAAGAGCTCACAAGGTTTTGTTGTTCTTGAGGGGCGCCCATTCCCCCTTACTGTTACTATAGGACCCCGACCTCGACGCGCTCGGCCGCCCGCCGGGCGCGCCGCCTCGCAGCCGCGCTGGCGCGCGCCGGGTCAGCGGGCCAGCCGGCCGTGCCTTGCCGGCCCCGGCGCGTGCGGTCGGGGCCGCGCGGCGCGGGGCCTCCCCCGGGGCCCGCCGGGTCCGCCGGCCTTCGGTGCGGGCCGGATTCTTGAACTGTTCAACCTTTTCAGTGGAGTGCTAACAGCAGGTATCATTAGTGAACCTCAGCCATGTCATCTTCCAGAGCTTACACTGATGCAGCACACCTGCATCCAGGTATGTTTCTCACTACCCTATAAGCCAGTCTCTCCGTCAACAACTACTCCAGAGCCTTACTGCAGGTTGCAACTTCAATCATCCAGTTGGTCAACCCTTCAGTCAACCAGACACCACCCTGGCAGTCATCTAGTTGGCCTATCTTGTTTCTCAGTTGATTCTGCTCTGTTGCAGTCAGCTTGGTCTAATGTACTTCAGCGTCAACTGGAGGTGTACTTGTCTGTTACCTACCAGCTCAGATACCCTGCTCTTGGAGTTCCTCAAATAGTGTTGACTCTTTGTCACAGCCTACACCAGTCTCTGTTAGATTCTGTACCTGTTCCACAATCAGTGTCTGGAAACTGCTTCAGTTTCTGTTCCTCTATGCATCAGCCTCACCACGGGCTGTCTCTCTCAGTTCTGTGTGCAATTTCCCTTCACTTTCCTGCTCTACTGGCCAGCAGTCTTGGATCTGAGCTTAGTCTCTCAGCGACCAGTTCCCCTAGGCCCAATCTTTCCTGAGAATCTCTGAACCAGGTACTCTGGCATCTGGTTTCTCCGTTAGTTTTGGTAGGGCTGTGTGGTTATCTTCATTGACCCTTGTACGAACCATCTGGCCACCTCCATGAGCAGGTGTTCTCTTTCTCTCTAGATCCCTGAGGGGTTCCACCTGTTTCTCATGCCTCTTGGTAATCCTCCTAATGGGCCCCACGTTTTGGTATTTAGACACAATGTTCTAGCACCGTGCTTCAAGCGCCACAGAAAAAGAAGCCTATTGATTTTCAAGTGCCACCATCAGTGCTATCTTTTCGTTTTCAAAGGATCATATCTCCTGGCCTGTTAGTCGTGAGCACAGAATACTTTTGCTGTGCACATTCATGATACTAAGATGAATTGTCCTTTTTATTTTGGCCACCCAATGACCTTTTCTGAAGATTTAGGGAAATCTTTGGCTGTCCTTAAATAACTATAATTATAAAACAATATCTGGGCTTTTGGTGGAGGTCTGCTCGATGGAGTGCTGCAGGTTTCCATGCTAACCAATGTACTCGTTGCATTCTCTTCTGCTCCCGCACCAGTACCCTAGACACAAACAGCCACTTGTGGTCTGTGTGCAGATAATTGAGAGAACTGTAGTTAAGGGGCCCTGTTGAGTTTTCTTAGAAACAAGTTACGTTTACATTCAGTGCTACTCACCAAAATGTTTTTTTCCTCAAAGCATTTGCCATTCTGATTCTTTCAAGTATTTTCAGTTCAGTATTGATCACATCCATGTTTATGAGCTTGCAGTCTTCGTCCTCCATGACCTTGCTGTTGCATTGCAGCATATTTTGGCATTTTACCACCAATTGTTGATCAGCGGAAGTGTGACACCACTGGTGGGACTGCGTTTTGTGTCATTTGTGCGTGCATGCTTGCTCATGTTAGCTTTAATCTCATGTAATCTACTAACGTTGGCAGTTCTGTGGTTCAGTATTGGCTGCCTGATATGTACAGCAGCCTTGAGATTTCTGAGTAAAACAAAGCTGCAGCAGGTCAGCCCAATTATGTGGATCATCTTATCATAAAACGTATTAAGTGCTTCTGTGCCAAGGATTGTATATCCATTCTCACTGGTAAAACATGAGACATCGCCATCTCCTATTAGAGTGACTGTCTCTGTGATGCACTGTTCAATGCAACTGTATTCAGGTTGGTAGATTGTTTGTATCTGTAATTGCATTAAAGAGCTTTGTGTCAAAAAACTTAAGTAAGCCAAGACTTTAATAAAACCTTTTATTGTGTTTGTCAAAGTCTGGTTGCCAGACAAAATTTACAAAAGTTAGCATTCAGTTTCTACCACACATTTATACATTTCTGTGCAATTCTGAGTTTACACTGATAATCCTGTCAAGTAAAGCAAAAGACATCTGGATCAGAGTAACAGGAGTCAACAACATAAATATCTGACTTGGTAGAGGGGCAAAGAAATTCAATTATATACAACAGCTTTAGTCACAAAAAATACATTACATACATTACCAGACAAAACCAACCGTTTGCCGCTTCAGTTCTCTTCTCAAGTCAGTCAGAAGTCCAGTTGTTATGCAGAGAGATATTTAAAAGATACTGCAAGTGTTCAACGCACAATATTTGTGTTCCTAACACAAACAAGAAGCGAAGGAACACACAAACTTTCAAATGCAAAAAAATGTTTTCTTCTCAACTGTTCAGCTAGAGCTGGAGCTGATGACATTTGTGCACTGAGGTTCACAGAAGGAGCCAAAGCGCCCATAGATGTCTTTGGCTCGAACCGCAAAATGATAAGTGGAGCCAGACTGGAACTGGGTCAGTGTACAGGCCATAGGCAGAGGAAGGGCCTTCACCTCCCCAATCTTCTTCCAGTGCTGCTGCGCTGCATTACTGTTAGAGTTGTCTTGATGGAAGGCATAGAGGTGATAGCTGTCTACAGCTGCACAGGTCCGGTCAGTTTCTGCCACACACCAGGACAGCACTATACCGGTCTGACTTGGCACCAGCTTTAGCTGAGGTTGCTGAGGAGGTGAGGTCCGCTCAGCCTCTGGGGGCAAGCGCGGGGGTGCGGGGGCAGCTGGGAGAGGGGGCAGTGCCATGCTGGAGCCCCGGGTTGGCGTACTAGTGGTTACAGCGCGGGATTTAATTGGAGAGTCCTATACAAGAGAGAAGTGTTGTCATGACTTGTTCCTCTAGCAAAATGGGCTAAATATTATTGCAACTTCAATTTCTTGAATCATTTAAAAAGCACCAGAAATCATCATCATCATCAAAAAAAAAGTGTAAATGCAATTTTAAATCCTCACCAGTGGGGGGCGGTGGTGGACTGTCAACTGAGGATTGCTGGGGGCGTTCAGATTGCTTTGCGGGGACGACCTTGCTCCTGCACCTGAGGACAGAGCACATGAGAAAAATACACATGTAATTTACATTAAACATTATTTAGATGTAAAACACGATACACGTGTTTATCACTTTAACCATGTTTCTTTTTATTTAGAATTACAATAATATGTAAAAAATATCTGCCATGTATCACAATATCACACGCGTGCACAAAATCATCCTTTCATCCCCCTCAATTAAATGTGGTAGTCTTACTGTTGGGAATGCTGACGACTGGATGAGGACGCTGGATAGGTGAGAGAGCTGCAACAGTGGCAGTCTTCACTCCTGTCACTGGAGAACCCACAGTGCAACATAGACGTTTCAATACAGTGCATGTTAGGGTATAGAAAGCAAACTATCAAGTAAAGAAATATTCTATTGAATGAAAAAAACAGGTGCACCTCAACCTTACCTTGTACATCATCGTCGTCCTCAGTGAGATCGATGACAGAACCTTTGGGTCGTGCCGCTGGAGCCCCTGCTTTGGATGGAGTGGATCCTGTAGCTTGGTTGTCTGAGAAAAGAGAGAGGAGAGAAATGTTGATATAAATATTGAGATAACACAAGTTGTTTGCTGGCGAGAATAACAGAATAACATGCCAATGTATTGAGTCATTTCTCTTGTTGTTACAAAGCCTTTTTTGTTTTTTGTGTGTAATGTCACGCAATTTTATCCCTACTGACCATGTGTCATTTTATGAGCGAATGTCTGAAAAGTCTGTGTAGGAAGAAGCAGATTGGGGTGTAAGGATGTGTCAAACACCCAGGAGACCACTGTTGGTGTAAACCTAACTAAACTG